AGCCCAGGAGTTTGAGGTTGCTGTGAGCTAGGCTGATGCCACGGCACTCTAGCCCAGGCAACACAAGCAAGACTGTCTCAAAAAAAAAAGAAAGAAAATTATCAAATTTATTTAATGTATATATGGGAACCCCCAGAAAATGAGGATTTTTTTATTGTTATATTGTTTTATTTCTTCAGAAGCTTTGTAACCAGTGAATTTATTCTCCAGCCTCCACCACCCTGGAGGGCACAAATTGTCAGGTGTATGTCAGGCAGCCAACTAGGAGTGGAGCTGGCGGTCCAAATATATCTGTTTGTCCAAATGTGCTGGCTCTCAGGAATGTGTCTTAATTATCTCAGCCTTCACTACCTTGCTCATCATGAGGGTCCTACTTTCTTAGGCTATCTTTGGAAGAAATTTCAGATCTTGAGGAGGACAGCATTTTTACACCCTCTTTGGGGACATAATTCTTGTGTCTGGTTATAAGTCATAAAAAGGCTTACTGGTTTTGAATCACAATTAAAGTAGGTATACCTTTGGAAATTTGGACTTTTGCATCTAAAAATATTTTTTTTTAGAGTCGCTTGGAAGTGTAAATCTTATCATGTCTCTGAAACATAAATATCCAGAGATTTATCTAAGCAATATTCCAGCTGAGATCAGATTTAAAAGAGTTAAATATCAGAAAGGAAAAGCCAAGACATAGGAAAGTGTGCTATTTGCCCAGCTAAAACCTGATAAACAAGACTTTTTAAAGAGCTCCATAGTCAAAATTCAACTTAATTAAAAGTTGATATTTAGGCTATATATGTATACCTATATTTTTGAAGGCCTCTGTTCTCTCTTTATAAATGCTTCTCAGTCAACTGAATTTCTCTCTTCTGAAATCTCTGCTAACTGTATGTGTTCTCTCTGCCTGCTTCTCCTCTTGGTGACATGATTTTTGCCTGTAAGACTTCTTCCATTTACTTCTGTCTGTCCCTCCTTCCTCTTGCTGCCCTCAATGCTGCACGAAGGGCCTAAAGATTTCTAACAACCCTGGGACCCCTCGAGTAAAACAGAGAAAGTACCACTCTTTTTAGGAAGAATCTGTTTTTCCTCATGAAACCCCAAGAGTTGTGGGTGGACAGGTTCCTCTCAGGTCAAAAGTTCTACTCTTTTACGTTGAACTCCTTAATCTTTTGGGTATTAGATACATACATGTGTACATGTGCATGTATCTATATGTTACATGTATGTCTATACATATATTTGTATATTGTCTACATGGTACCAAATTAACTTAAAGATAAATGAGTACTCATAAATTAAATAAATAAGCCCAAATATTTTTTCAAATTCATGTGACTTGAATGAGTCTTTTGGTAAATAAGACTTCATTCAGCATTGTTGGTTTAATAAAAATAACTATGTCTTCTGAGTTATCAGCAAAATATGTATGTATTTAACTTTAAGGTTCTCGCTTTTATGATACTTGCCTAACATACAGCAATATAAAAATAGTTAATATAAAATTTAACTTGAGATGATAGCTAGATTTGTCGATGGTCTAATAAAATTTTTCAAACATAATTGTTAAAATTTTTTTTAATATATCATTTTTTTTTTTTTGAAGACAGGGTCTTGCTCTGTCACCCCAAGCTGGAGTGCAGCGGCATCATCATAGCTCACTGCAACCTCAAATTCCTGGGCTCAAGTGATCCTCCTACCTCAGCCTCCTGAGTAGCTGAAACTATAGGCACACGCCACCATGCTTGGCTAGTTTTTCTATTTTTTTGGAGAGATGGGGTCTCGCTCTTGCTCAGGCTGTACTAGAACTCCTGGCCTCAAGCAGTCCTCCTGCCTTAGCCTCCCAAAGTACTAGGATTACAGGTGTGAGCCACCAAGCTCAGCTGTTAAAATTAAATAAATAAAATAGATGTAAATGAGATAAATAAACTAAATGAATGTAGAAAGTTGGAGAAAGAAAGAAAATGAGAAAACATTTTATAAGAGATTATAAAAGGTTTGTAGAAATCTTGTGTGGCCAAAGCTAATTGAGATTAGATGGGTTTGTTTAAAAGGTTTTATTAAAATTAAATGTAGTATTAATAATACAACTGATGCAAAGTTTAAATTTAGTTTTCTCTTTTGAACAAGATTTTTTTTTTTTGAGATGGAGTCTCGCTCTGTCACCCTAGCCTCTGTCGCCCTAGCTCACAGCTACCTCAAACTCCAGGGCTCAAGCGATTCTCCTGCCTCAGTCTCCCAAATAGCTGGGACTACAGATGTGCAACACAGCCCGGCTAATTTTTTTATATTTTTAGTTACCCAGCTAATTTCTTTCTATTTTTTTTTTTTTAGTAGAGATGGGGGTCTTGCTCTTGCTGAGGCTGGTCTCGAATTCCTGACCTCAAGTGATGATCCTCCCACCTCGGCCTCCCAGAGTGCTAGGATTACAGGTGTGAGCCACCACACCCGGCCTTGGTTGATGGTTTTAAAACATAACATAGATGTTGTCTACTGCACATAACAGTG